GGTGGTGGATGCCCCATCCCTGGAAACATTCCAGGTCAGGTTGGATGGGGCTCTGAGCAACCTGATCTAGTTGAAGATGTCCCTGCCCACGGCAAGGGGGGTGGACTAGACGACCTTTAGAGGTCCCTTCCAACCCGAACTATTCTATGATTCTATGATTACATGTCAACTTGAAACATCACATCAATCTTCAATGTGTTGTGCTAGCAGCCATGAAAGAAACAGTGCAGAAAGCTGCTTAAACTTTAACATAAAAGTAAAATAAAAACAAAAAAGAAAAATGCCAACTCAGAAATATTAACTTCAACAAAGTCAACTTTTAAGTACGGTTGCTCAGAACCGCACAGTTTTATGGTCAACGGTTGGTAATGCTGATGAAGTATAACTCCAAAATATCCCACTTGACAAACACCACAGAGGCAATACATTGAACACTCTCATTTACCTTTCAGAAAGAGCCAGAAGATGACCAGGAAAATGGAAAGGCACCAAACTTAGAAAGCAAAGACATTTTCTAAGATGTATCTAGCCTATGAAATTATTCAACTCACTATGCCACTAACAGCAAGAGTTTAAGATTAAAATATATATTTTTTCATCACTAGGGATAACATCGCCTATAGTTTACCAACTGCGCATATAAAGGTATACAACTTTCCAAGACATACAAAGTGTCATGCTTCAGGGCATAAGGCTTTCACTAAATATCAGCTGCCCATCGGAAGGATTCTCTGTTCTCCTGTGAAAGATCTGGTATCAGTCACCATCAGGCAGATTTCCAAATTAAACGGCAGACTTCACTGGAGAAATGAGTCAATGCTCCTTCCTCAGAGAGTACACCTGCCGTAACGTACTATCAGACTATCGCCGCTGTATTCATCCAAAAGGCTTGATTTTGTTTTTTTTTTTTTTAAATGTACCTGCCTGTGAATTTTTAGTTTTGCTGCCTAAGGAAATGAGGCTCATACAACCAAGCCGTACATGCAAGCGGGATAGATATCTTACATGCCTTTTGGTTTTGGGAAAATAGGCAAATGTGTATAAAAGAAAGGTACATCCCCAACAGAGAGAAAGGCTGATGCAGTGACTTTAATCTTAACAGAGAGCAGGTGAGCACAACCTCGGGGCAAAACAACTGGAAATGTGTTCACTGGTTCTGCTTCTTATAGAGCTCCCATTTCCACGGTCTAAAGGAATGTTTGCGTACGTAACACCCTACTCTTCAAAAGAGCAAAAAGGTGTGAGGTTTGAGAACGGTACCTGTAGAGACTTCTGAGGAGTTCAAAAAATATAAATATACACACAAGTTTTTCGTAGTTCAGGGGTTTATTTCAAATGTAGCACAGGCTTAGCTAAAACAGGCGAGAGCCTCAGAAGAGAGCAAAGCCTAAAAATAAATTCATGCAACCTGTTTACCTGTCTTCTGTGTAACTCCTATCACCAACCACCTATCACTCAAACTCATCTAGCCTTCTCCTTTCCTTTTCCACGTTCCCCCAGCCCACCCACTCTGGCACCGCACCTCAGTGAGGCTTCGGGTTTTCTTCTTCCTTTTTCACAAGCCTCTCGTTACTCGCACATCAGAAGGTGTTTTGTGCCTGTGGCAACTAACAGTTACTATGTCACCTCCCTCAAAAGTTTAGTTACTTGCAAGCCAATTTTGCCACGTCACCTGTAAGTGAACACATACTATCACAACTTACTGGACTGATCAAGGTGTGCACATAACCAAGTGAATCTACGATCTTACTATTTCAGATCGACCCACCCTTTCCTCCTCCAGTCTCCTTCTATCTGCACATGATTAGCAGCCCAAAGTATCTGCGACTGACTTTACGTGGCAGGCCTTTGAACTCAGGTCCCGAACTTTGACAATGTACTTGTGTCTTTTGATTGTGCAGATATCAAATCTTGCCGTATTCAGAGTTAATGACATCATGTCAGCCCAGCTATTTTACTGGCACAAAGCAGGTAAAACCTTGAGAAATATTTTAAGCAATTGTTTCAGAAGAGCAAGTTATAACGTATGACTGAAGTAAACAAAGCTTGTTTTTTCATTATTTGAAGCACCTGTACATCTAACAACACTTCAGAAGAAAACTGTTTAGTGTCAGTCTCACATGAACAGTACACATTTACCAGTCTTCTAACAAACAAGACTCTTCAGGGTATTCCCACGGTAGGCATCTAAGAAGTTATCTGAAGTGCAGCTCCTCCATCCCTCGCTTCCTAAGCAGCGGCCAACTCTCTCCAGTGACTACGTAGGGATTATTAAGGCAGCCTTAATCAGACCTCTCACACTTTACTACACTGTTATGCAAGCTCCTCCAAATACGAAGATTAGACCCAATGCACAAGCGCCATGCTAGACAAACCCCTACCTTATTGTCTGTACTTAGAAAACAATCTACTCAAAAGGCTACGAAATCAAATGCAAACCAGTACAAGTCCACGGAGGGAATTATTTTAAAAACACTGTTCTTCAAGAAATCATTTTACCTAACCGTTAAGCAGAAGTTTCCTTCTAAGAAGGGCATAACACTAATAAGGAATGTCTCGTTAGCAGGATCTCTCTCAAGCATTCGTCTTCTCTCCCTGTTCACAGTCACATTTCCCTTCTTTCTAGAGGTGGCACATGGGACAGTTTCAAACCCAATGACATCCAACTATTTTGTCACGTTCTGATCTTCCTACTGAAGGAAGGGCAGAAGACTTTAGTGAATGTTACCATAGTCCAGGAGGCTCCTGAAGCAGACTGTGAGTTTTCTGGACACGTGACAGCTCGATACGTGATCGTAACCATTGCACCTAATGCATCTTTCCTCAGGTGGGTAAGCTTCAGAGGGAGTCACAGACAGATACAGGTGGGATGCCAGAATACAAAAGATATTCAGGTTGACTCAATCAAACACAAAACATTTAATAGAGCTGCAGGTCAAGCGATGGTTTCAGTCTCAACCAACAAGAAGAGAAAAGGAATTGAGACATGGTTTACGAGGGTGAGTTACTACTTCTCTGCAGGATCACAAGGTGGATTTTATCCTCTTCTCACATATATGAAAAGGGAAATCTGAAATGCTGTTAAATTTCTCATC